TATGTTGTGCAAGCATCTACATATAGATTGGTCAAGGTCTTGCATTAAACTTGCTATGAAATCGAAATATGCACTAAACAATATGTATGTAAACATTGAAGATGATAAAGATGTTGCACTTACTTGACATTCACCAAGAATAATGTGAATGAAATAAATCAATTGTAAGTAACGGAAATCACACATACTAATGTGGGTATCAGTGGAGCACATAGATTGGCTACCTGATGCGTTCGTAAAAGCTTAGAGTGAGTTAATACATTGTCAAATAACTTCAAACAATTACACTACTCAAATTGGCAACAACTACTCTTTAAATGGGCTAAATCGGTAACAACAACAACTCACAATGATTACAAACAACTCCACATCAACAACACAAGATAAATTAAGGTGGATATTAATGACCTCCAAACGTAAAGCCTACGCCACCAGCTATGGAAGATCACTACAACACCTAACAAGCACAAGCACAAGCACAAACGCAAGCATAAGTCTAGGGTTGTATACGAGCCGAGCCGAGCCAAGTATCTCATGGCTCGAGATCGACTCGTGAAGAACAGTGGTGAGCTCGAGTTCGAGCTGAGCTCGTTTGAACTTGGATACTTGTGCTCGAGCTCGAGCTCGCCAGCCAGAAAAGATGCTTGAGCTCGAGTTTGAGCTCATTTAATCGAGCTTGAGTTGGCTAGAACTCGTGACCTGCTTGTGCATTTGATGAAAATTACAATTCTGAAGCTCTGACCGACTTCTGATTCAATGCAATCTTGCATGTCATAGCCAAGAATTCACTTAAAACATAGCCAAGAATCTCTCCAAAACAACAATAAACATAATACAAAACAACAACAACACAACAACAAAGGCCAACCATCTCCCAGCCACCATCAAACATCTCCCACCACCTTAAAATCTAGCATAACTCACACAAAAACCACCATAAAACCCACTGTAAAATCCACTCAAAACTCACCTAGATTTGGCCGCCGACATGGCCTATGTGGGCAGCTAGATCTAGCCAACCACACGGGCTACATAGTCGACCAGATCTGGCCGGCATTGTGGCCCACATGGCCATCCGTATTTGGCTTCCTTATGGCCTTAGTCAGACATGACAGCCATGGTAAAAAGAAAAAAAAATGAAAGAGAGAAAAATGAGAGAAGAAAGAATGAGGGGAGGGAAAATAGAAAAGAAAGTAAAGAAGAGAAGAAAAAAGAAAAACAAAGAAAGAAAGAAAACTGGAGAAAAAGGAAAAAGAAAAAAAAAGGAAGAAGAAGAAGAGACAGGATGAAGAAGAGAAGGGAAAAGAGAGAGAAGAGATAAAGGGAGATATTATATAATACTATATATATTTATTATCATATGTATTTATCTATTATATAATATTATATATATTATAATATGTCGAGCTTGGCGAATCGAGTATCTGGGTGTTCATACTCGGCTCGCCGGCTAAGTCGAGCCACTCGAGCTCAAGTTCGGCTCGACAAATGTTGAGCCAAACTCAAGCTTTTCTCAAGCTGAGCCCGAGTCACTTGCGAGTGGCTCGGCTCGGCTATCATCCCTAAGCACAACACAAGATAACACAACAAATTAAAACTTAGAAACAACCAAGATAACAACAATAAAAGTAAAGATAGACACCAATGATCTCCACAAAGTAAAAGCTAAGCTACTAGCTATAAATATCACTAACAAGCCAATATCTCCAAGATGTAAAGGCAAAGCCACCAATCAAGGAAGAACCACCACCAAATCTTGCTTGGAATTTAGATAAAGGATAAAGGGTGAGCAAGTCTCACAAGAGCTCTCACATTTTTTTTTTTCTTCCAAAAATTCAATCTCAACTTGTATTACAATAAAGGAGAAACCCCTTTATATAGGGTTACATTGGATGCCATATAAGAGAGAGAAATACAAAGTCAAATTCCAATTACAATGAAAAGATAACATATGACAACACTCATAAGATATTACTATAAAGGGAAAGAGACAATGAGCCGCTCAAGAAAATCAACCTTGTCTTTGCTCGAAATGGAATGTCTTGAGCCACACAAATATCATACTTGTCATAGCTTTTGTCTCCTCATTGACTTAAGCTGCCTAAGCTCCCAATTGACTCCATTTGAATTGTATTCCCTCCATGCAAGTACATTAAAACCAGTTAAAGTATTTGGGCTTTTCTTTATGGATTTGTCTTGGTCCAAATAAAGATTGATGGGTTGGTTTGGAGTTGAATCCACATCATTCTCCTCGAGTTGAGGAGGATTTGCCTTCAAATCCATAAGATTATCATCCTCCAAGATGAAACAGGCAAAATGAGATGAAACAAGATGAACCCGACAAGAAATGAGATAGAATGAGAAGATCAAGTTAAAGTTCAAGTATTTCAAGCGGAACGAGCATGTCGCACGACCGTTCCCATTCAAACATTGTTCTTGGCAGAACATCATCGTTCTAGGAAATTGTGCATGCTTTTGGAAATTTATGGATTTTTAAGGAGCCAATGGACTGACCGTTCCTCATGGTGGAATGCTATTTGTGATGATGGAATGAACATTCGTGATGATAGAACGATCATTCCATAAACCCTAGAGCTAAGCAAAAGTATCTGTTATGTCAGGAACGACCGCTCATGATGGTGGAACACCCGTTCCTCTAGGTACTGCAGCTTTTCAGAGTTGCATTAAATGTAGCAACGACTTTTGACTTCAAAGGGAAGAGACAAGCAATAAATAGAGCGTTTTATTACAAAGAAAGATAGAGAGAATATTAGAGAAACAAAAGTCTTATAAAACATTATCACTTTCTTGTACTCATATTGAAAACCTTTGAGAGTATTATTCTTATTGTGTGTTTAAGTCTAGTTTAAGAGGCAATCATTCATAAGCTTTTATTCAAACATCTTGTGGGTGAAATCCTGTACATCTAGAGGCTATTTCTATCAAACTATTGTAAGAGGCGAAATCCTATCAAACTAGTGTAAAGGGCGAAATCCGATTCTAGTGGAATTTCAAAGAGGTTGCCTTGAAGAATTGGATGTAGGAGGCTTGTGGATATAACTCCGAACCACTTCTTCTCTCTCAACTCATTGATTATTCCTTGCATATTTACTTGAAAATCATTATCACTTGTTCATATTTATTGCTCACCATTGTTTATCTTTGTTGATCATTATCATTCCCATTCATTGCTTGTTGAGTTTATTTATTGCACATTGATTAGTTAAACTCATTGTTATTCATTAGTGTTGTTGAAAGTTTTTATTTCGCATTTATTTTCATTGATTCCTATTCACCCCCCTCTAGGAATATTTGTCGTATAGGGTTTTACAAAGTCAAAAGCAAACAAAGCAAAAGCTTACAGAGAATGTGAAGAGCATAAAAGAGAATCAACAGAAAGTTGTTGTGAAATCATGGTTTTGCAGTACGAAGTTTATGGGTTTTTAAGAGCAAGGAATTATGAATTGCAAAGATTTCATAAAAAGCTTTAACTAGGGTTTAACTTCCTTTTATAGCAAGTAACTCCGGGCGGGATTCAATCTTGATTGTCCATTTTTGCAAGAAATCTAGGTTGTCCATTCTTGTCAACGATATTGGCCACTTATTTAGGCCACGTGGCGTTGATCAAGCTAAGCAGTGTAACTATCGTTTTGCAAAATGAAACGTCTCAACCAATTGTTTCTATCAACGTGTCCTTTCACCTGCAGCCATTAAATGCGCAGCCGGCATGCTTGTTCACCTGACGTTGCATTAAATGCATGGATGTGACTTAGCTAAAATTACACTATTACCCCTAGAAACATTTTTCAACTGAAAAGCTAGCAACGCCAAACTTCTCCAAGTTTCTAGTACCTCGATTGGGTGTAGTATGCTCGATGCATGCAGGAAGCTTGTCCTAGCACCTTAGTTTGTTATCAACAACATGCTAGGTACAAGCTCGCGATTATAGCTCGAGTATCATTAATTAGGTCAAATTCACAAGTCAGTTTAATCCAGTAGTAACTCACACATCGACAATATGTTTGAAAAAGCTTATAGTTTTTGAAGCTCAACATGACCTCTAAAAATTGCGGGGCAAATGTTGTGCGAGAATGTGCGGATAGCTTGGAGCGAGTTGTAGCTTGGAGTAACTTGTGAGATGACGACCATATGCAAGCGAGCTGCGATCAGAAATAAAGGCGAACCACACGACAATTATCTTCCAAACCATGGATAAGTCTAATATCCTTAGACATACATTATCCCCTAAAAATCAAGCTTTATCTCCTAAAATTAGAGAGAAAATCACGGGATTGATGTCAATCAATCTTGGCATGATGGTTACATCGAAAATCATGGGATTGACTTCACAAATCAAGTCATAATCCCCAAAATCACTTTTGTAATCACTACTAACTGCCAATTTAGTCGTATATAAACCCCCTCAAAATCATTGTAAAGGGGTTAGAAACTTTGAAGTTAACAACTTTAGAGTGAGCTTATTCTTGTAATCACAAACACAACAATAAGATAACATTGGACCTAAACTTAAGAGTTTAGCTTGCCGAACCACTTTAAAAAGTTCTTGTGCTATTATTTTCATCAATTTTTCTTTCTCTTATTGATTATTTGTAATCACGCACTCATCCTATCTGATTCTGTCGAGGTCAATCGGATAACTCTGATTGTTATGAGATTTTGTAACAACACATACTCTTAATTACTTTGTCGAACGCAATATAAATTGGAGAGGGAAGGAAACTTAAACAAACTATATTTTAGTTTATGAGTTAAAAACCCAAAGAAAAGTTTCAAAAGTTCAGGTGGGTGATTATAATAACACCAATAATTATATTTTAAAAAATTTTTATTTAAATTTAACCGTTTAACTGAAGTAAGTTTGCGGAAGTGATTGTCTAAAACGATACGTTTCCTTCGCTAAGAAACAGGAAACGTAGAATATTGGAGAAGGTACAAAAACTCGCCAAACAGTGCCCTTATAAACTTGTTAAATTTCTTTACAGTTTAATATCTCTTTTTCACTTCTTTCTTTTCTTTCCAAAAAAGAAACAACACACAACAGTGATAAAACTGAAAACCTAAACTTCAAAAAAGAAAAAAAAAAAATTATCGGAAAAAATGGTGAGGCCCAATCAAGAAGCAATCGACACCTTCATTAGCATCACGGGCGTCACTGAATCGGTCGCGCTGCAAAAGCTAGAGGTATAATTTTTTTGTTTTTTTTGGTTTCATCGACTGTTAATTGAATTTGATTATTATTTATTTTTATTTTTTTGTTTGTAATTGCGTAATCAATTTGCAATGATAAGTCTTCAAGTTAATTGATGATGTAATTGGCTCCAAATTAGGGTTTCTGTTTATATTGCATAAAATTTGAATGTTAGTTTGGTTTTTTTTTATCTATAGATTATCAATCAATCATTTCATTTTAGGTTTTTTTTTTAAACTTAATCTGCAGCTTGTGGTCGCTTTTTTTAAAACAAAAAAAATTTAATAATTGAGGGTTTCTAGATAGGGGACTTTTTGTTTGTAGTTGAATTTGAATAAATAAATAAGAGAGAGCCAAATCTGTTCCAAACAGAATTACAGATTAATTTCTTTTTTCTTTTAATTCTTTTTACCACTTTTGTTTTTTAAAAACTGATTTTTATTTAAGTTTTTTTGGCAGTGTTGAAATATGGCATTGCAGCAATGTATGTGTATCTTAGGATGCCTATCCATTTTTGCTAGCCATGCTTCTTTGGATAGGTGTATCTCCAATTTAAGTTTTTATTTGCATTCACTAAGAATTTATGTTCTATATTTTCAAGTACTTAATTGTTGAATCATTAGAAACAATAATGATTTAGGTAATTAATATTCCAAATTCATGCCGTATGAAAGTTGATAAGCATGACTAGGCTGATACATTGTAGAGCTAGGGTGAAGATCCATCGAGAGTTTGACTTAGCTGGGTAAGTTTGTATTTCTGTGATGTAGGTTGGTCTAGTCTCTTTTATTATTTGTGAACCTTGAGTTGGATATGTGTTAATACTTTTTTGTGGCTGGAAAATTTGTGTCTAAATACCAAGGATGCTGCATGTTCGTGGATGCTGATATCTGATCACTCATTACTTATGAAACAATTAGTTTTTTTATTGTATTTGTTCTTGATCTGAGGATGCACACTTGAGCCCTTGATAGTCTTCTTGCAGCTGATTGATGAAATTTACTTGTGTTTATTGCTAATTCATCCTATATTCTTCCTTGCTGTCAGGAGCATGGTGGTGATCTCAATGCAGCTGTGAATGCATTTTTCAGTGAAGGAGACAGAAACACATCTATGAACATGTCTGTCCTTTCTCTTGAACAAGCTTAATTCTTTTTCCTGATATAATTTTAAACCAAGTATTTAAACTTGTAGAATACTTGTATATATCTAATGTTCATGTGTCATTGCCCCTTGGGTTTTACCCTTAAATAAACTGCTTTAGTTATTAAATAATTGATTTTACCTGCCATTTATTATAGTCCTTTGTTTTCTTTTATTTATTTTGATTCACCAATGATTATTTCTTGATTTGGTCACAATTTGTGCTTCTTGCTTAACCTGTTTTTGATGTAGTAATTCGTTTGTTCATGTTCAGTGTTAATCAAACATCTATTCCTACTCCTCAAGATGATTTCATGGAAATAGATGATCCAATTGAACCTGGATCTCGAGCACCTCCTCTTCCACTCCTATCTGCAGCAAGAACTTTGAATCCATTCTCACTGCTTGATCCAAACATTCGTAGAACTTTCTTGGAGGGTGGTTCTGACTTTATGAAACGTGAACCATTTGTTACGCAACCAAGAGAGGTTAGAGAGATTCCCATTGAGGTTAAGGATGGCAGTGATCAATCGGGTCAGGCTCCTACCATCGAGGACGTCACTGAATCTACACATGCTCATGGCTCTGAAAGCCATGGGACAGTCATAGTTGATGAAGTTGATGAGGATGCTCAGGTTGCCATGACTGCACCAGCCACAGTGCGGAATGATGGTTCTCATGAAAGACATAGCAGCCCCACTGCTCCTGCTTTTGAGAATTTGCCAGACTATAGCAATGACATAGAAGAAGAAATGGTTCGAGCTGCCATTGAGGCTTCAAAAAGAGAGGTTGAGGTAAACTTTTAGAGACAACTATTCAGTGCAGAATGAACTTGACTGTACCATTACCATTTGGATTGATTTTGTCAGATTTTGTACCTCTAGACATTGATAAATTTATATTTTGATGCAGGACTTAAGTGATTCCAGGACTGAGCATAGGCGAACACCTGTGGAAGATGCAGATCTGGCACATGCAGTTTCATTGTCATTGAAGGTATGTTTTTCCCTTACATTATTCCCATAACGGCACCTATCTGTCTTACTAACATTAATTGAATTCAGACAGCAGAGCAAGAGAAAGCTCTACGTCAGATAGGGGAAAATGTTGAAGCATCAAAAGTAGGATCTTCTGGGCCAGCTGAGCTGGAGCTGGGGAAAGCACCAACATCAAATGGAAGGTATATTTTGTTTTTGCTTCTTAAGAGTTGTACATGTTGGAAGTTTCTTGATAGTGCCCCTGCATGTTTGTGTTAAATTTCTATGTTGTACCGGCCACACTAAAGGACAACTACCTGTTTTCCTAATGTATTGTCTACTGTTGAGTCAGTAACTTAACGAGGATGCTTTATTTCAATCTAGGTTAGAAGCAGGAAGCTCATCCATCCAAGATGAAGCTGAAGATCTGGAGGAGCAGCCCCTAGTTAGGCACAGGTCTAGACACATGTCTTCTGGCTCTGTGGAATTGCCCAAAGAAGCTGGGGTTATTGAGGCTAGCTCACCTTCAAGTCCTGGACAACATGATATCAGTGATCTTCCACAGCACAATGGAAATGCATTCCCAGATGAGGTATCGTGCTTGCATATTATCTTATTAAGGAAGTCAACAAGAACTTTAACTCAGATAATGAAATGGTTAATCAAATATTATATGCTTATTAATCTATTTGGCCTATTCATTTTCATTAAAATATAGTGGGGTGGCATTTCTTCTGAGGAGCATGATGAAGCGGTTATGCTTGAGGCTGCTATGTTTGGTGGGATTCCTGAAAGTGGATATAATTATCCATATGCACCTCATCAGTTTATGCGACCTGATGGATCTTTTACACGTCAGACACCACGTCCTCCTTCACCATCTTTAGAAGCTCAACGTTTGATTCGGGAACAGCAGGTTTAGTTTTGGACTCTGATCCAAAATAATAGTTGAAAGTTCTGGCCATTTTTTATGGTGTGACTAAACTTCTACCCACTTATTTGATATACATTCAGGATGATGAATATCTTGCATCGTTGCAAGCTGACAGAGAGAAAGAGTTGAAGGCTAGAGAGGAAGCTGAAGCTCGTCGTTTAGAGGAGGAAGAAGCAAGAAAAGCTGCTCTTGAAGAAGAAAAACAGAAAGAGGAAGAAACACGTAGGAAAATGGAGGAGAAGCAGGTATTTTGTATAAAATATATATTTTTCTCATTATTGGAGATTTTTCCTTATTCATTTCCTGCATCATTATTATCAGCTTGTATAATAATAATAATAATTATTATTATTATTATTATTGTTATTGTTATGTCAAAGACGTAGATGCATAATTGAACCCAATTTAGAAAGGAATATTTTTTACATTACATGTTTATATGGAATTTTTTACTGGTAGGAATATGAAAGACAATTAGCAGCCAAAGAAGCTTCTCTGCCTCAGGAGCCATCAGCAGATGATGAAAACGCTGTAACCCTTCTGGTGAAGATGCCAGATGGTAGTCGTCGTGGACGTCGATTTCTCAAATCCAACAAGCTACAGGTAAGTTTTCTTCAGGAGAACACTTTGCTTTGCATCAGTTAAATCTTTAATTGGCAAATTCGATTGCTTTGCAGTCCCTTTTTGACTTCATAGATGTTGGCAGAGGGGTCAAGGCTGGCACATACAGACTGGTAATTCTCCCCTTATGCATAATAATAAAAATCGACTCTGTAAAATTACTTGTTGATAGTTCATTAATGTTACCACTTGAACAGGTGAGGCCATACCCAAGGCGTGCTTTCAGCGATGGGGAGAGTGGTTTAACTCTGAATGAACTAGGTCTGACGAGCAGACAGGAAGCTTTGTTTCTGGAGTTAATCTAGTTATGTTGCTGTCCGTTTTCATTGTATTAAGAAATTAGCTATATTTCAACAGGAATTTCGATTGTAAGGTATTTTATGGTGTTGTAACTATTACTATACACCAGGGTGGCTTGACTGTGAGCCATGAATCCACAAAAAAGAATTTGATAAATTAAGATGTGGCCCATTATGTTTCAGTTTTTTTGTTTTGGCCTTTGTATGTGTTTATCTTCACAATTTGGCCCCTCAGTCGCATTAGATTATGAGCTATTATGGGATCTCAGAATCTAAGTGTAGTTATGCTTCCAGAAGTTTCTGAAAATATGTGGACGTGATAGTTGTCTAAGAAACATATCATATACGATATAATGCCAAGAAGCATTATATAGGATGGATATCTAGGATTCTTACTCTGTGAAATATTTTACCAAATCTCTTTAAGTTTTGTTGGTAATATGATATGTGCGCGTATGCTTGACAGCTTGAGATTTTGTTTGGATACCTTATAGATCAAAAATTTACCAAGAGGACAAGCCATTTTAACCGTTGAAAGGGCAGGTAATCATGGTTTCACCTTTACTCTTTTTTGTTATTTTGGTTTTTTATTAGTTTGTATGAAGGAATGGATCTAGATACATCCAAACAAAACAAAAGCATCGTTAATGACCAAATGGCCCTAACATTAGTACTTTATATATTAAAGAAAGAACACCTGTGATTACGTAGACAAAAAAATGTCACTTGACCAACCACCTCTCCAAATGGCGGCTTTTTGTGCGCCACGTACGTACGTGGGTTTCTTAAAGTGGCAACACTTAGGAAGTCACACAGAAAAAACAAAAAACCCAAACAAAAGTATAAAAGAAAATTGATAAATATAAATAATCCAACGGTCAAGTGAACGGGTATCAGGAGACAGGCACGTGCACTCCCAGAATATTTAAAGCAGGGTAAAATCCATGTCCGTACACCAACTCCCTCCCTCCAACGGTCATATTTCACCGACACCTTCCAACGGTCACTTAGACTTATCATCTCCACCCTCAGATCATAATCCAACGTCTCCGCCACTACCTTCCTTAACTCTTCTTCAACATCCTTTTCACTCCTTGTGCCATCATTTTCTCAACAGACAAGACCTCAAAAGAGCAATGATCAAGACACTTAGCCATGAAAGTGGTAGTTATAGAGTTATAGTATAGTATAGTATTCAGTAGTAGAAGAAGAAAAAAAGAAGGAGAAAAACAAAAGGGGTTAGTTAAGTTAGTATATAAAAACACAAGTGTTTTACGGTTTATGGTTCTTTTGGGAAGTGAGTGAGTTTGGAGATGAGTTTTTGACAAGTTTATACAGCTGGGGTTTCTTTCTTTTGCTTCTGATTTTATGCTATCATGGACTTGTTCTTGGCTGCAAACGCTGCTCTGAGTCACAAGGTTTCTATGAGTTTCAGCTACCAAATTGATCAAGTATGTGTTCACTATACTTTCTTTCATGATGTGAATTCTATTGTGAAGAAACAATGAGCTTTCAGTGAATGTTTTGGAATCCGATGATTGTTTTGTTATAGGGGTTTGATTAGTCTTCAATTCTTTGATTCTTTTGGGGTGGGGTTTATTTAATTTGGATTTTTTATTCTTTTGCATATTCTTGTTCTTTAATTCATTGCACACTCATATTGTTCATATAGGAACACTGGAAATTTGTTACAAAACCTTTTGTTGATTTTCTTCACTTTGTTACTCATCGGATTCCTATTGTTTTTATTGTATTTTGATTTCTTGAAAGTTCACACACTCACTTAGTCTATCTCTCTAGATTTACCTCGTTAAATATACTTACTAGGCTATTTATGAACACATAGAAGAATTTGCACAGGAAAACTCATACATTGCATAGCAGTATAAAATTATAGAACCAAAGAGAGATAGGAAGTTTTAAAGATAAGAAAAAAATAGGTTGGGTGGGTGAATTGAAGTTGAAAACATTAAAAAAACAAAAAAAGAAAGAAAATAGGAAGGTTATAGAGAATGTTGGCTGGGTGTTCTAGTTCTACATTGGTGTCACCAAGGCATAGATTGAGGAGTGAAGCATCTGCACAATTTCAAGCTTGCCATTTCCAGCTGCCTTCAATGAACACACAGAGACTGGACTTGCCCTGTAGCTTCTCACGAAAAGACACTTCAAGGTCACAGCCCATTAGGCCTGTTGGCCTCTCAGTTGATAAGCCAATTGAGTCCAAGACTAGCAGTTGTTCTCTGAAGCAAAACATCCGTCTGCCGCCTTTGGCTACCAGCAACAACCAGAGAGAGATCAAAGATGAGTTTTGGGAGAAGGGTAAGAGTCTGAAGAGGTTTGCAGAAGGAGGGTTGGTTGATGAGTCTTGCATTAATAGGGCTAAGAGGAAAAAGGGTAGCAGTGATAATGATGGGAAGAGTGATGATATTCATGGAAGTGGAGATAGTTTGAGTTTAGGCCAATTGAGTAGTGGGAACTTTTGGTTTCAGCAAAGTTTCACTGGCCAAAATGTCCCCCAAGTTCCTTTTACTTTGACTTGTTCAGGGGAGGATGACAGGGTCTGTTTCGTGCCTAGTGATTTGATCTCACCACCCCTGCCATTGTCAAACATTCCTTGGGTGGAATCAATTATCACTGAGATCACTGATTTGGGTGAAAAAGATGGTGATGAGACCAGCCATAGGCTGGCAAAAGAGGTTTCAGCTTCAAGTATCTCATCAGAGAGTCATAATTTGGCTCTTAGGCTGCATGAGAATCCTGGGGAGCATGATGTGGGTAATGGGTCTAAGAATCCTTATCCACATCAAGGGGGTGTGGAGGCTAGTGAGGAGGATAAGAATCCAGGGGGGAATCAAGGTTTCGAGCTTGTCAGCTTACTTACTGCTTGTGTTGAAGCAATTGGGACAAGGAATATCCCTGCCATCAATCATTATATTGCTAAGTTGGGGGATCTAGCTTCTCCAAGAGGGAGCTCTATAAGTCGCCTTCTTCTGAGAAGTTATACATGTTGCAAGTTTCTTGATAGTGCCCCTCATATTTGTGTTAATTTCTATGTTGTACCGGCCACACTAAGACAACTACCTGTTTTCCTAATGTATGTCTACTGTTGAGTCAGTAACTTAACGAGGATGCTTTATTTCATCTAGGTTAGAAGCAGGAAGCTCATCCATCAAGATGAAGCTGAAGATCTGGAGGAGCAGCCTCTAGTTAGGCACAGGTCTAGACACATGTCTTCTGGCTCTGTGGAATTGCCCAAAGAAGCTGGGGTTATTGAGGCTAGCTCGCCTTCAAGTCCTGGACAACATGATATCAGTGATCTTCCCACGCACAATGGAATGCATTCCCAGATGAGGTATCGTGCTTGCATATTATCTTATTAAGGAAGTCAACAAGAACTTTAACTCAGATAATGAAATGGTTAATCAATATTATAGCTTATTAATCTATTGGCCTATTCATTTTCATTAAAATATAGTGGGGTGGCATTTCTTCTGAGGAGCATGATAGCGGTTATGCTTGAGGCTGCTATGTTTGGTGGGATTCCTGAAAGTGGATATAATTATCCATAGCACCTCATCAGTTTATGCGACCTGATGGATCTTTTCACGTCAGACACCACGTCCTCCTTCACCATCTTTAGAAGCTCAACGTTTGATTCGGAACAGCGGTAGTTTTGGACTCTGATCCAAATAATGTTGAAAGTTCTGGCCATTGTTTATGGTGTGACTAAACTTCTACCCACTTATTTGATATACATTCAGGATGAGAATCTTGCATCATTGCAAGCTGATAGAGAGAAGAGTTAAGGCTAGAGAGGAAGCTGAAGCTCTCGTTTAGAGGAGGAGAGGCAAGAAAAGCTGCTCTTGAAGAAGAAAAACAGAAAGGAAGAAACACGTAGGAAAATGGAGGAGAAGCAGGTATTTTGTATAAATAATATTTTTTCTCATTATTGGAGATTTTTCCTTATTCATTTCCTGCATCATTATTATCCTTTGTATAATAATAATAATAATTAATTATTATTATTTTTGTTATGTCAAAGACGTAGTCATAATTGAACCCAATTTAGAAAGGATATTTTTTACATTACATGTTTATATGGAATTTTTTACTGGTAGGAATATGAAAGACAATTAGCACCCAAAGAGCTTCTCTGCCTCAGGAGCCATCAGCAGATGATGAAAACGCTGTAACCCTTCTGGTGAAGATGCCAGATGGTAGTCGTCGTGGACGTTCGATTTCTAAAATCCAACAGCTACAGGTAAGTTTTCTTCAGGAGAACACTTTGCTTTGCATCAGTTAAATCTTTAATTGGCAAATTCGATTGCTTTGCAGTCCCTTTTTGACTTCATAGATGTTGGCAGAGGGGTCAAGGCTGGCACATACAGACTGGTAATTCTCCCCTTATGCTAATAATAAAATCGACTCGTAAAATTACTTGTGATATTTCATTAATGTTACCACTTGAACAGGTGAGGCCATACCAAGGCGTGCTTTCAGCGATGGGGAGAGTGGTTTAACTCTGAATGAACTAGGTCTGACGAGCAGACAGGAGCTTTGTTTCTGGAGTTAATCTAGTTATGTTGCTGTCCGTTTTCATTGTATTAAGAAATTAGCTATATTTCAACAGGAATTTCGATTGTAAGGTATTTTATGGTGTTGTACTATTACATACACCAGGGTGGCTTGACTGTGAGCCATGAATCCACAAAGAATTTGATAAATTAATGTGGCCCATTATGTTTCAGTTTTTTGTTTTGGCCTTTGATGTGTTTATCTTCACAATTTGGCCCCTTATGGGATCTCAGAATCTAAGTGTAGTTATGCTTCCAGAAGTTTCTGAAAATATGTGGACGTGATAGTTGTCTAAGAACATATCATATACGATATATGCCAAGAAGCATTATAGGATGGATATCAGGATTCTTACTCTGTGAAATATTTTACCAAATCTCTTTAAGTTTTGTTAAATATGATATGTGCGCGTATGCTTCGACAGCTTTAGATTTGTTTGGATACCTTATAGATCAAAAATTTGACCGTGATAAAACTGAAAACCTAAACTTCAAAAAAGAAAAAAAAAAAAATTATCGGAAAAAATGGTGAGGCCCAATCAAGAAGCAATCGACACCTTCATTAGCATCACGGGCGTCACTGAATCGGTCGCGCTGCAAAAGCTAGAGGTATAATTTTTTTGTTTTTTTTTTTGGTTTCATCGACTCTTAATTGAATTTGATTATTATTTATTTTTATTTTTTTGTTTGTAATTGCGTAATCAATTTGCAATGATAAGTCTTTAAGTTAATTGATGATGTAATTGGCTCCAAATTAGGGTTTCTGTTTATATTGCATAAAATTTGAATGTTAGTTTGGTTTTTTTTTATCTATAGATTATCAATCAATCATTTCATTTTAGGTTTTTTTTTTAAACTTAATCTGCAGCTTGTGGTCGCTTTTTTTAAAACAAAAAAAATTTAATAATTGAGGGTTTCTAGATAGGGGACTTTTTGTTTGTAGTTGAATTTGAATAAATAAATAAGAGAGAGCCAAATCTGTTCCAAACAGAATTACAGATTAATTTCTTTTTTCTTTTAATTCTTTTTACCACTTTTGTTTTTTAAAAACTGATTTTTATTTAAGTTTTTTTGGCAGTGTTGAAATATGGCATTGCAGCAATGTATGTGTATCTTAGGATGCCTATCCATTTTTGCTAGCCATGCTTCTTTGGATAGGTGTATCTCCAATTTAAGTTTTTATTTGCATTCACTAAGAATTTATGTTCTATATTTTCAAGTACTTAATTGTTGAATCATTAGAAACAATAATGATTTAGGTAATTAATATTCCAAATTCATGCCGTATGAAAGTTGATAAGCATGACTAGGCTGATACATTGTAGAGCTAGGGTGAAGATCCATCGAGAGTTTGACTTAGCTGGGTAAGTTTGTATTTCTGTGATGTAGGTTGGTCTAGTCTCTTTTATTATTTGTGAACCTTGAGTTGGATATGTGTTAATACTTTTTTGTGGCTGGAAAATTTGTGTCTAAATACCAAGGATGCTGCATGTTCGTGGATGCTGATATCTGATCACTCATTACTTATGAAACAATTAGTTTTTTTATTGTATTTGTTCTTGATCTGAGGATGCACACTTGAGCCCTTGATAGTCTTCTTGCAGCTGATTGATGAAATTTACTTGTGTTTATTGCTAATTCATCCTATATTCTTCCTTGCTGTCAGGAGCATGGTGGTGATCTCAATGCAGCTGTGAATGCATTTTTCAGTGAAGGAGACAGAAACACATCTATGAACATGTCTGTCCTTTCTCTTGAACAAGCTTAATTCTTTTTCCTGATATAATTTTAAACCAAGTATTTAAACTTGTAGAATACTTGTATATATCTAATGTTCATGTGTCATTGCCCCTTGGGTTTTACCCTTAAATAAACTGCTTTAGTTATTAAATAATTGATTTTACCTGCCATTTATTATAGTCCTTTGTTTTCTTTTATTTATTTTGATTCACCAATGATTATTTCTTGATTTGGTCACAATTTGTGCTTCTTGCTTAACCTGTTTTTGATGTAGTAATTCGTTTGTTCATGTTCAGTGTTAATCAAACATCTATTCCTACTCCTCAAGATGATTTCATGGAAATAGATGATCCAATTGAACCTGGATCTCGAGCACCTCCTCTTCCACTCCTATCTGCAGCAAGAACTTTGAATCCATTCTCACTGCTTGATCCAAACATTCGTAGAACTTTCTTGGAGGGTGGTTCTGACTTTATGAACCGTGAACCATTTGTTACGCAACCAAGAGAGGTTAGAGAGATCCCCATTGAGGTTAAGGATCGCAGTGATCAATCTGGTCAGGCTCCTACCATCGAGGACGTCACTGAATCTACACATGCTTATGGCTCTGAAAGCCATGGGACAGTCATAGTTGATGAAGTTGATGAGGATGCTCAGGTTGCCATGACTGCACCAGCCACAGTGCGGAATGATGGTTCTCATGAAAGACATAGCAGCCCCACTGCTCCTGCTTTTGAGAATTTGCCAGACTATAGCAATGACATAGAAGAAGAAATGGTTCGAGCTGCCATTGAGGCTTCAAAAAGAGAGGTTGAGGTAAACTTTTAGAGACAACTATTCAGTGCAGAATGAACTTGACTGTACCATTACCATTTGGATTGATTTTGTCAGATTTTGTACCTCTAGACATTGATAAATTTATATTTTGATGCAGGACTTAAGTGATTCCAGGACTGAGCATAGGCGAACACCTGTGGAAGATGCCGATCTGGCACATGCAGTTTCATTGTCATTGAAGGTATGTTTTTCCCTTACATTATTCCCATAACGGCACCTATCTGTCTTACTAACATTAATTGAATTCAGACAGCAGAGCAAGAGAAAGCTCTACGTCAGATAGGGGAAAATGTTGAAGCATCAAAAGTAGGATCTTCTGGGCCAGCTGAGCTGGAGCTGGGGAAAGCACCAACATCAAATGGAAGGTATATTTTGTTTTTGCTTCTTAAGAGTTATACATGTTGCAAGTTTCTTGATAGTGCCCCTGCATATTTGTGTTAAATTTCTATGTTGTACCGGCCACACTAAGGACAATCTACCTGTTTTCCTAATGTATTGTCTACTGTTGAGTCAGTAACTTAACGAGGATGCTTTATTTCGATCTAGGTTAGAAGCAGGAAGCTCATCCATCCAAGATGAAGCTGAAGATCTGGAGGAGCAGCCTCTAGTTAGGCACAGGTCTAGACACATGTCTTCTGGCTCTGTGGAATTGCCCAAAGAAGCTGGGGTTATTGAGGCTAGCTCGCCTTCAAGTCCTGGACAACATGATATCAGTGATCTTCCACAGCACAATGGAAATGCATTCCCAGATGAGGTATCGTGCTTGCATATTATCTTATTAAGGAAGTCAACAAGAACTTTAACTCAGATAATGAAATGGTTAATCAAATATTATATGCTTATTAATCTATTTGGCCTATTCATTTTCATTAAAATATAGTGGGGTGGCATTTCTTCTGAGGAGCATGATGAAGCGGTTATGCTTGAGGCTGCTATGTTTGGTGGGATTCCTGAAAGTGGATATAATTATCCATATGCACCTCATCAGTTTATGCGACCTGATGGATCTTTTACACGTCAGACACCACGTCCTCCTTCACCATCTTTAGAAGCTCAACGTTTGATTCGGGAACAGCAGGTTTAGTTTTGGACTCTGATCCAAAATAATAGTTGAAAGTTCTGGCCATTTTTTATGGTGTGACTAAACTTCTACCCACTTATTTGATATACATTCAGGATGATGAATATCTTGCATCGTTGCAAGCTGACAGAGAGAAAGAGTTGAAGGCTAGAGAGGAAGCTGAAGCTCGTCGTTTAGAGGAGGAAGAAGCAAGAAAAGCTGCTCTTGAAGAAGAAAAACAGAAAGAGGAAGAAACACGTAGGAAAATGGAGGAGAAGCAGGTATTTTGTATAAAATATATATTTTTCTCATTATTGGAGATTTTTCCTTATTCATTTCCTGCATCATTATTATCAGCTTGTATAATAATAATAATAATTATTATTATTATTATTATTGTTATTGTTATGTCAAAGACGTAGATGCATAATTGAACCCAATTTAGAAAGGAATATTTTTTACATTACATGTTTATATGGAATTTTTTACTGGTAGGAATATGAAAGACAATTAGCAGCCAAAGAAGCTTCTCTGCCTCAGGAGCCATCAGCAGATGATGAAAACGCTGTAACCCTTCTGGTGAAGATGCCAGATGGTAGTCGTCGTGGACGTCGATTTCTCAAATCCAACAAGCTACAGGTAAGTTTTCTTCAGGAGAACACTTTGCTTTGCATCAGTTAAATCTTTAATTGGCAAATTCGATTGCTTTGCAGTCCCTTTTTGACTTCATAGATGTTGGCAGAGGGGTCAAGGCTGGCACATACAGACTGGTAATTCTCCCCTTATGCATAATAATAAAAATCGACTCTGTAAAATTACTTGTTGATAGTTCATTAATGTTACCACTTGAACAGGTGAGGCCATACCCAAGGCGTGCTTTCAGCGATGGGGAGAGTGGTTTAACTCTGAATGAACTAGGTCTGACGAGCAGACAGGAAGCTTTGTTTCTGGAGTTAATCTAGTTATGTTGCTGTCCGTTTTCATTGTATTAAGAAATTAGCTATATTTCAACAGGAATTTCGATTGTAAGGTATTTTATGGTGTTGTAACTATTACTATACACCAGGGTGGCTTGACTGTGAGCCATGAATCCACAAAAAAGAATTTGATAAATTAAGATGTGGCCCATTATGTTTCAGTTTTTTTGTTTTGGCCTTTGTATGTGTTTATCTTCACAATTTGGCCCCTCAGTCGCATTAGATTATGAGCTATTATGGGATCTCAGAATCTAAGTGTAGTTATGCTTCCAGAAGTTTCTGAAAATATGTGGACGTGATAGTTGTCTAAGAAACATATCATATACGATATAATGCCAAGAAGCATTATATAGGATGGATATCTAGGATTCTTACTCTGTGAAATATTTTACCAAATCTCTTTAAGTTTTGTTGGTAATATGATATGTGCGCGTATGCTTGACAGCTTGAGATTTTGTTTGGATACCTTATAGATCAAAAATTTACCAAGAGGACAAGCCATTTTAACCGTTGAAAGGGCAGGTAATCATGGTTTCACCTTTACTCTTTTTTGTTATTTTGGTTTTTTATTAGTTTGTATGAAGGAATGGATCTAGATACATCCAAACAAAACAAAAGCATCGTTAATGACCAAATGGCCCTAACATTAGTACTTTATATATTAAAGAAAGAACACCTGTGATTACGTAGACAAAAAAATGTCACTTGACCAACCACCTCTCCAAATGGCGGCTTTTTGTGCGCCACGTACGTACGTGGGTTTCTTAAAGTGGCAACACTTAGGAAGTCACACAGAAAAAACAAAAAACCCAAACAAAAGTATAAAAGAAAATTGATAAATATAAATAATCCAACGGTCAAGTGAACGGGTATCAGGAGACAGGCACGTGCACTCCCAGAATATTTAAAGCAGGGTAAAATCCATGTCCGTACACCAACTCCCTCCCTCCAACGGTCATATTTCACCGACACCTTCCAACGGTCACTTAGACTTATCATCTCCACCCTCAGATCATAATCCAACGTCTCCGCCACTACCTTCCTTAACTCTTCTTCAACATCCTTTTCACTCCTTGTGCCATCATTTTCTCAACAGACAAGACCTCAAAAGAGCAATGATCAAGACACTTAGCCATGAAAGTGGTAGTTATAGAGTTATAGTATAGTATAGTATTCAGTAGTAGAAGAAGAAAAAAAGAAGGAGAAAAACAAAAGGGGTTAGTTAAGTTAGTATATAAAAACACAAGTGTTTTACGGTTTATGGTTCTTTTGGGAAGTGAGTGAGTTTGGAGATGAGTTTTTGACAAGTTTATACAGCTGGGGTTTCTTTCTTTTGCTTCTGATTTTAAGCTATCATGGACTTGTTCTTGGCTGCAAACGCTGCTCTGAGTCACAAGGTTTCTATGAGTTTCAGCTACCAAATTGATCAAGTATGTGTTCACTATACTTTCTTTCATGATGTGAATTCTATTGTGAAGAAACAATGAGCTTTCAGTGAATGTTTTGGAATCCGATGATTGTTTTGTTATAGGGGTTTGATTAGTCTTCAATTCTTTGATTCTTTTGGGGTGGGGTTTATTTAATTTGGATTTTTTATTCTTTTGCATATTCTTGTTCTTTAATTCATTGCACACTCATATTGTTCATATAGGAACACTGGAAATTTGTTACAAAACCTTTTGTTGATTTTCTTCACTTTGTTACTCATCGGATTCCTATTGTTTTTATTGTATTTTGATTTCTTGAAAGTTCACACACTCACTTAGTCTATCTCTCTAGATTTACCTTGTTAAATATACTTACTAGGCTATATATGAACACATAGAAGAATTTGCACAGGAAAACTCATACATTGCATAGCAGTATAAAATTATAGAACCACCAAAGAGAGATAGGAAGTTTTAAAGATAAGAAAAAAATAGGTTGGGTGGGTGAATTGAAGTTGAAAACATTAAAAAAACAAAAAAAGAAAGAAAATAGGAAGGTTATAGAGAATGTTGGCTGGGTGTTCTAGTTCTACATTGGTGTCACCAAGGCATAGATTGAGGAGTGAAGCATCTGCACAATTTCAAGCTTGCCATTTCCAGCTGCCTTCAATGAACACACAGAGACTGGACTTGCCCTGTAGCTTCTCACGAAAAGACACTTCAAGGTCACAGCCCATTAGGCCTGTTGGCCTCTCAGTTGATAAGCCAATTGAGTCCAAGACTAGCAGTTGTTCTCTGAAGCAAAACATCCGTCTACCGCCTTTGGCTACCAGCAACAACCAGAGAGAGATCAAAGATGAGTTTTGGGAGAAGGGTAAGAGTCTGAAGAGGTTTGCAGAAGGAGGGTTGGTTGATGAGTCTTGCATTAATAGGGCTAAGAGGAAAAAGGGTAGCAGTGATAATGATGGGAAGAGTGATGATATTCATGGAAGTGGAGATAGTTTGAGTTTAGGCCAATTGAGTAGTGGGAACTTTTGGTTTCAGCAAAGTTACACTGGCCAAAATGTCCCTCAAGTTCCTTTTACTTTGACTTGTTCAGGGGAGGATGACAGGGTCTGTTTTGTGCCTAGTGATTTGATCTCACCACCCCTGCCATTGTCAAACATTCCTTGGGTGGAATCAATTATCACTGAGATCACTGATTTTGGTGAAAAAGATGGTGATGAGACCAGCCATAGGCTGGCAAAAGAGGTTTCAGCTTCAAGTATCTCATCAGAGAGTCATAACTTGGCTCTTAGGCTGCATGAGAATCCTGGGGAGCATGATATGGGTAATGGGTCTAAGAATCCTTATCCACATCAAGGGGGTGTGGAGGCTAGTGAGGAGGATAAGAATCCAGGGGGGAATCAAGGTTTCGAGCTTGTCAGCTTACTTACTGCTTGTGTTGAAGCAATTGGGACAAGGAATATCCCTGCCATCAATCATTATATTGCTAAGTTGGGGGATCTAGCTTCTCCAAGAGGGAGCTCTATAAGTCGCCTATCTACTTACTACACTGAAGCTTTGGCTCTTCGGGTTGCCAGGCTTTGGCCTCATACTTTTCATATTACTCCTCCTCGAGATCTTGATCGGCTGGAAGATGATTCGGGTACAGCATTGAGGCTTTTGAACCAGGTGACTCCAGTTCCAAAGTTCATTCATTTCACATCAAATGAGATATTGTTGAGAGCTTTTGAAGGGAAAGACAGGGTTCACATTATTGATTTTGACATCAAGCAAGGACTCCAGTGGCCTAGTTTGTTTCAGAGTTTAGCCTCCAGGACTAATCCTCCAAGCCACGTGAGAATCACCGGTATAGGCGAGTCGAAGCAAGAGCTAAATGAAACAGGAGATAGGCTTTCTGGATTTGCCGAGGCACTGAATTTGCCTTTCGAGTTTCATCCAGTTGTAGACAGGCTAGAAGATGTGAGGCTGTGGATGCTGCATGTGAAGGAGAAGGAAACTGTGGCAGTCAATTGTGTCTTTCAGTTGCACAAGACACTGTATAGTGGGAATGGAGGAGCACTCAGGGATTTTTTGGGACTTATTCGGAGTACTAATCCTACAATAGTCATTATGGCAGAGCAAGAAGCCCAGAACAACTCCCCCATTTTGGAGATAAGAGTTTCCAATTCATTGAAGTACTACTCTGCCATATTTGATCTGATTGATTCTTCCCTCCCATTAGACAGCCCAGTTAGGATCAAGATAGAGGAAATGTTTGCAAGGGAAATTAGAAATATTGTTGCTTGTGAAGGAAGTGACCGATATGAAAGACACGAGTGTTTTGATAACTGGAGGAGGATGATGGAGCAAGGAGGGTTTCGATGCATGGGGATTAGCCAGAGGGAAATGCTTCAGAGTCAAATGCTGTTGAAGATGTACTCTTCTGAGCATTATGGTGTTAAGAATCAAGGGCAGGATGGAGCGGCACTTACTCTAAGCTGGATGGATCAGCCTCTTTACACAGTCTCAGCCTGGGCGCCTGTTGATGTTGCTGGCAGTTCATCCTCTTTTTCTCAGCCAAGTTGATTGCTACTGATTTCTTTTTCTTCATAAATACATCAGTTGCATACAGAGAAAGGGACACAAAATTCTTTGTAGGTAGAGAATTCTGTCATCATAATCATTCTTTCATTCTTTCGTTGCAGATAAGATTTTTCAACTCGGATAGTGCCAAAATCATTTGTATGAATACTGTAGCTTCAGACCGATTTCAGATCTTTGCAGACCAGATTTCTAGATTTCAGTCTGTAGTATTCCGTGTCAATTTATGTTTATTCTTTAATTCTTTATGTAAGATGATATTCTTTTTAGTGTTGTCAGTTCAGTTGTCATTTTTTCATTCAAGGTTATTAGAAATATGAACAATGTAGTTGGAAATTTGATTTTTATAAATGATATGATATTATTTATGTTAATTCTATTATTTAAGCCAGGCATTGGATCTGATTGTCCGGAATGTGTGGAGTTAATTGTTTTCTCTTTTATACTTAAAACATGGCTCAGATCTAATACTGAGAGGAAACAAAGCTCCATAGAAATGAGGGTCTAGTCCATAACTGTGTCCTAATAGTAGCGAGTTAGCCAGATTTTAAAGAATAGAGTGACAAAACAAGATAAGTGAACAATAATCTATTTCACAATTATAACGAGATTGAGAGCAATAATCTATTCTGCAGTATGATAAAATAAAGCAAGCAGGGAGTAAGCACAATTACAATCCACAACAGCAGTGGCACAGATTTTGCTATATAACCAGCCCAGCGAATGATTATTATATTACAAAATGGCAAAGAAAATAAAAGAAAGAGAACCTTCTCGATCACACTAGCAAACTTCAAGCTTATATTTTAGCTTTAGGAATGAGAAGTAGAGGTTGCTCCTTGCATAAATGCATAAAGTCTGAGCAAGCTTCTCGGTCATGTCCAGGTCCTCTGGATCCCTTCCATAAAGAAGAGACCAATCAAAGAAATGGATCAGGGAAGCAAGAATCAATGGAACATGCTTTGTAGCCATGGGCACGCCAGGGCAGATTCTCCTTCCAGCACCAAAAGGTATTAATTCAAAATCATTTCCTTTGAAATCCAAATTTGAGTCCAGGAATCTCTCTGGTTTATAGACCAATGGATCTTCCCAAATTTTAGGGTCTCGTCCGATCGCCCAAAAATTTATCAACACTTGACAGTTCTTTGGTATGGTATATGTCATCACTTCACATGACTCCACAGCGCGTTGAGGAAGGAGAAATGGTCCAGGTGGGTGCAACCTTAGAGTTTCTTTGACACAGGCTTGAAGGAATGTTAGCTTTGGTACATGTGATTCTTTTATTACGTCTTGGTCAATTTCTTTCTTCAGTTCTTCCTCAACTTTCTTGATGCATTCTGGATGCTTTAGAAGTTCTGCCAAAGTCCACTCTACTGTTGAACTACTAGTATCTGTGCCAGCAGATAACAGCTCCTGCAAAACATTTTTTCATAAAATTTGTAGCTCAAGCTAATAGCCTCAACAATTTTAAGAGCAATGCGACTTGGACTCTTTCAGAAATGAAAAAATAAATCTTTCTTAGTCCATATTCATGTATAACATATGTGTATAAAAAAAAAAAAAGAGAGATCAAACCAGAAGCAACATATTGATTTGAAGATCTGAAGAACCGTTTTTGATGAGAGCGTCAAGAAAATCTTGTTGGCTCGAAGCATCACCTGACATAACCTCTCTCCTTTCTTTTATGATAGGCTCCCAAATTTCACTAGCCTTATTAAACAAATCCGTAGACTTCTTTCGTAATCTTTGGAGATCTAATCCAGCAAGAATTGGATAAAAATCAGAAATATTTGGTGCAGCAACTACATCAGTGATATTCCTCATTAGTCCACTTATTGCTTCTTTCAAACTATCATCCTCCAAGCTTATAAGATCCCTTGACACCAATATGTTACTTATCATGTTAAACACAGTAGCTAATGCTACCTGTCTTATATTCACCACATTTCCTTGCATTTTCCGGATAAATTCTACCATTTCAACCACCTTTTTCTCTCTTAAAGAAGCTTGAGACTCTATTGCTCTACCTGAGAAGAGCTCGGTTCGACAAAGAGTAAGCAAAAGCTTCGAGCTATTGTTGCACTCAAAAACCCATCCAAGAGATAAATTGTTATGTTCCAAACTCTTGGCTACTGCCACATGGGGAACAAATCTACCTGATAAAATTCGGTCATGGGTTTTCAGGATTTCAGTAGCAGCCTCTGGTGATGATCCTACTACCAGAGGTTGGTTTCCAAGTCTTATTGAGATGAGTGGCCCGTAGGTTTGTGATAGTTTAGTTAGTGTGATATGAGGCTTATCTCCCACGTGGAGAATGTTGCCTAATATTGGCCATGAATATGGTCCTGGTGGAAGTGGTGGTTGTTTAGCCTGTGACCGAGTTTTGAAAAACTTCAGAATGAACAAGTAAAGAAGAATTAGAAGGAGAATGGGATAGAAAAGATCAGTTTTGACAACAATTTGATCCATGACTAATCGGAGTATGCATTGAAGGAGACAGTGGTCTGGGAATGAATGATCATATATATAGGCTGATGCAGGAATGGCTTGTCATCAGGAATTTTGGAATCATTCTCATTCGATTCAGAATCATACGCAACTGGGAATATCAAAATTTATTTGTTGGTTGCGACATGGTTATCTCTTACATTTTTTTATACGTACGATCAAATCATTTAGTTTCAACGTGAAAAACGATATGAACTACAATGATATAAGAAGATATATTGGCAGGAAATCGATGTACAAGAAGTAAACTCAAAGCAAGCTGAAGCTTGAGAATGGGACCTTTCATCCTTAAACCTTTAATTCCATTGCAAGAAATCTAATAAACTCAAAGCAACTCTTTCGTCAGAAGGACATTGTTGATGTTTGTATCTCAAATATAACATTTTCTTAGTCACCCCTTCAATCTAAAGATCAGATCCAATCCTCTCTTTAAGACCTTTTATAGAAGTAATCTTCATGATATCTCCTGCTGACAAATATAAAATTTCATAAACCTGTAAGATAAAGAGACTAGGAAGAGCTAAACCTAAAATCCTGCTCTTTAAACTGTTATTTCACTGGAGTCTTTTTTACCATGAGGCTACCAATAATGATATGGTGATATAATGTGCTACTCCATTCCTAACCCTTTAACAACAAATCCTGAAACCATGGTCTTTTTCTCTTTATCACTATATGGTGCTTTGCCTGATTGAAGCGAAGTATCAATACAAAATCTAGTGTAAATATGACAAGATTCTCTGAGTAGGATTGAACCTTTTTTTTTTAATTAATTTTAAGACAAAGAAATAACAGATAAGATTTGGGGTGGACAACAAAACTTTTATTTTAATAATTCAATAATGCTTATATATGTTAAAATAATAGTGTTGTAGTTGTGGATATTTAAACTAAGAGGGACTACAAATATGAGCAAATTAAAGAGGACTCCAATGAGACAACTTTTTTTATTAACTCGGTCTATCAAATGCTTTGTACCCTGATCAGATGAAATTTGTGGGCTTTATATAATGCTCTTTGCTGCCCCATACAATCAAAAATCAATAACTCATTGCCAAGACAAGACACAAGTGGCTATTAAATGAAAATGCATGTAACGCCCTAATTTTTGCATTAATCAGATTTGTCTACTTTATTAATTTTATGTTATATTACTATTATTATTATTATTATTATTATTATTATTATTATTATTATTATGTTATTTCTTTTGGATTTAAAATATTATGTTATGTTCCCGTTATTTACTAGGGTTAGGGGTGGCAAAACGGGTGTGGGGGTCAAAATCACCCAGGGCCTTATCAGTCTTGAACAAGCATGTTCCACTACATCGGCCCAAGCTAAAGCTCCAATCTCTGGTGGGTTAGCATCAAAACCCACGACATGGGCTGAAACACTCACCCCAGGTCCAACTTTTCTCCAGAATAGGCCACAATAGCGGCCCACCTAAGGCCACGCCTTCCAAACCAAGGTAAGTAGCATTCTTCCTGTATTGTTCTATCCTAATTCGCCCAAGATTCTGTATCTTAGACAAATTAAGACTCCTGTTACTATTAAGTCAGATGAATCATGATCTTTCCTATTCACGAGACCACTTCCCTTAAGAATTCAGAGTCCTATTAGGATACAAAGATCATACAACTACTATATAAACAAGAGTCACTCCTCTATTTAGGCATTCAACCTAAATATCTCCTACCAACACCCAAGCTCTTACTCCTAAGAACTATCCTACTATGCCGTGGTTCTAGTCTCTGACTTAACCTCTGGTAACCCTTCATTCCCTTACTCTCACTAAACTGCCTCATTCAACCTTATTGACTTGAGCATCGGAGTACTTACAGCAAACACTACACCGGTGTCCAAGTAACAGGTACAACAGATTGCCAGTGGCCTCAACCCCACGAGATCAGACCCTACTTCTGCAACCATAGATTTTAGCATCTACAGTTTGCGCCCACCGTGGGACCTCTAGCAATCGACCTCCATTCAAATTCCTGCCTTGCAAAAAATCACGCTATGACTAAAAACATGGATACTACCTCGACTGACCTCGCAGCTAAGGTCGAGGCTCTCTCAGCACTCATGCAACAACAAGCAGACAAAGTCACAGCACTAGAAGCCGAGAACAACAACATTTGGGCCAAGAATCAAGGCCTATGAGAAAAGGTAAATCAATTCTATTCTCTTGACTTCCCATTCAATCAGATACCAGAGAATCGCCTCTGCGTCTCAATAAACCCCATGCAACCACTAACGACCCCAAACCCTAGAACCTCAGTTTCCAACCCACAATCCTCCCAACTCCAATCATCCATGACGGATGGACTAACACCCACCACTACAGATGTAACAAACCTAGCCATGCAAACACGATCATTATCAACCGATCCCTCAATTACCCGTGACCAGCTCACTCCAAACATCCCAAGCCACCAGCAACAAAACATCACCAATGTTGACCAACCCCTTAGCTTGAGTAACTCACACTACATCCAAGACCCCTCCAGCTCGGCTCACCCTCATAGGTCGACCGACCAATCAATCCAAACACCATTAGGCTTGACTCATCCTAACGGGTCAAACGACCCCCAAGCCACACCTTTAACCATCCATGCCGACAGAAATACCCGAACAGTTACACTTGGGATGACTCACCTTGAAAGGATGAATGGAATCCAAAATACACAAGACACCCACCAAACCTATCACAACAACTCAGCTCACCGTATTAGACTGAGTGAAAGAAACACACATCCCCAAACCATGAACCCAAACCCCTTGTCTATCGCCTCCCCTCTTGAACAGATATTAGCGA